AAAAAGTGGCCGAACACATAGTCTAAGGGATATCTCAGGAATAAAGAAAAAGTTGGTTGCTGTAGGATTATTTACATTCATGTGTCTGTTATGAATATCAGTGCAGCGGTGTGATGTGGTTTTCTGTTGAAATGCCGTACATGAGTTAAATTCATCAGACCAGAGTAACACAGGCAGAGAAGCTGCTCTCTCAATAATTAAACTTTCACATGTTCTGTCTTCTCATTATTTTTGTTCGAAAATTATCTCACCACTGAAATTAAAACTCTGCAATATGAAAGGCCCTAAACATGAATATTACATCAGCTATTGACATTGTAATATGTCATTTCCTTTAGTTGGAGAACTTGGTTTACTACAACCGCCTGAAGCACTCTAAAATAGTCATCAGCGACTTCCATCTTGCCAAGCTGGAGAACGGACTAATCAAAGACCCCTGTGGGACGCCAGAGTACCTGGGTGAGATTATTAAATTCACAGTGAGGCAAATAAGACAGTTTTATGTGGCAGCTTGTTGTTTCTTGCATAAATTTTGATGAAGCGTTGTGTTGTGTTGCGCAGCTCCAGAGGTGGTTGGCAGACAGCGATATGGCCGACCTGTGGACTGCTGGGCGACAGGTGTCATCATGTACATACTGTAAGTTTCCAACATGAGGTATATTGAGAGTAAAGTATGATTCCAAGAACAAGAAAGGGACGTTTTTGGTTGCTCTGTGATCTACTGTGTTATACAGAGGCTTGTTTAAACATGGTATGTATGGTATTTTCTTTTCTTCCCTCAGACTGTCAGGCAACCCTCCCTTCTACGATGAAACCGATGACGACGATTATGAGAACCATGACAAGAACCTGTTCCGAAAGATCCTAGCAGGCGATTATGAGTTTGACTCTCCATACTGGGATGACATCTCTGATTCAGGTACTTTTAGGATAAAGTTAACAATGTGAGGGAACACACTGACAGCTTGCTGGGTAAACATTTCACATTTGGAGAGTCTTCCTCTCTTCTTACCTCTGGAGTGTTCAAACACGTGTCATATGTTTCCATCCATCAGGAGAATAAACCCTTTTTTCTTGGGTTTTCTTCTGTGTGATTTTTCTCTGACAGCTAAGAGTCTGGTTGCTCGTTTGATGGAGGTGGATCAAGACCAGAGACTGACAGCCCAGGAGGCTATAAACCATGAATGGTAGGAAGTAATGCTTTGATATATATTGTGCAGACCATTTGAAACAGAGTTGTGTGATCAGACTTCCATAATAAGATCAAAAAGGCTTGTTTAAAAGCACCACTTTCCGTTCATTTTACAATCACTGCCTTTAATGGGTGCTTAAGGTCTATTACGCTTTTATAAGGAACGGCAGCTGTGTGGTTTCTAGATGGGACGACGTATGAAATATTTGAAAGAGCTCCTCGAGTGAAAATGAAGGATTTAAGCTTGTTAATGTGTCCATATGGTGTTTTATTTTTTTATATAGTAATAGATCATGAGAGAGGGCTGCAAGGTGGAGCAGTGGTTAGCACTGTTGCCTCACAGCTAGAAGGTTGCCGGTCCGCGTCCCGGTGAGGACACCCGAGATCTTTCTGCGTGGAGTTTGCATGTTGCGTGCAGCGTGGGTTCTCTCTGGGTTCTCTGGCTTCTTCCCACAAACATGCTGAGGTTAATTGGTGATTCTAAATTGTCTGTAGGTGTGAATGTGAGTGTGCTTGGTTGTCTGTCTCTGAGTGTGGCCCTGTGATAGACTGGTGACCAGTCCAAGGTGTCCTCTGCCTTCACCCTAAGGCAGCTGGGATAGACTCCAGCCCCCCCGCGACCCCAGTGAGGATTAAGCGGTGTATAGATAATGGATGGATGGATGGATGTCATGAGAGACACGAGCAGGCACGAACATGGGTGATAATTTCCACCTTGAAACTGCAGTGCGACAGTCTGAAAAACAAGGTTTCATAAATAACAAACCTCAGGAACAAATCCTGCCAATTTGTGGGGTGCAGCTTTACGTATCACTATTTTATTAGAAATGAACATCTTTGGCTGTATTACACCAAGTCACGAAGAGATTGCTTTTGTGTGGGGAAAAAAAACAAAATAGCAACCTTTGAAATGTAGAAGTCTGATACTTTTTAGGAATTTAATCAATGTCTGGAGATGGAGTTGAAACACATGTTGGATTGGCACAAAGTGTGATTCAGACATTCATTGTTCCTGGATGATTTATGTTATCTTTCGAGACAGTGATTTTTATCAACCAGCAAGCTGACTTTTTCTGATGTCTGTTAAAAAGTCCTGACACATGTGGATGGATTGCTATTATATATCGTGCAACCATTCCTAAACTAATAATCTGTGATCCTTGACATAGGTGTGTTGGTTTATGACCAGAAACCATCAAAACTGAAACTATTTATTGATAATTAATACATGTTTACCAGTGCACAGCGGATATGGAGAAAGATATTGTTAATTTGGAGTATTTTGGAGTTAAGAAGTAACTCATGTTGATGTGTTGTGACTATTTGAAGACATTTGGCTGTTTATTAATGTGCTAAAGACACAGTTTGAATGCCGGCTCCGCTTAGTTCTATTTGACAGAAGCACTTCAAAGCAAACTGTACATTCTGAACAAGAATTGTCTCTCAATGGTAAAAGAAAAGAAAGAAAAAACTGCCCAAGCTACAGAATGATCAGAATAATCCTTAAAGGTTAATCCGTCCTTGCAAAAGTTTGCCAGTCAATAAAATGAACAACAAATTAAGTAATACTGTGTGCAGCAGCCTGTGGCATCCAAAGATAGGGGAAGCATAAAGCGCTGTTGTGAAGTTGTGTTTTTTCTTTTTCCATTTTGTACAACAGGATCTCTGGTGGTGCAGCTTCAGATAAGAACATCAAGGAAAATGTGTGTGCACAAATAGAGAAGAACTTTGCCAGAGCTAAATGGAAGGTAAACTCTTTTGTTCTCTCTTTACGGAAGCTCCTCTTCGCAAAGTTCAATAGCAGTTGTGCTGTCCTTGAACAAGTAGGTATAGCAAAGTATATTGTAAAACTGAGCTGAGGCGGTCTGATAAGAGCTGATGTTCTCTGGGGATGGTTTTTTTTTTGTGAGCTCTTTGTTTATTCCGCTCCCACAGAAAGCCGTGCGGGTCACCACCATCATGAAGAGACTGCGAGCACCTGAGCAGAGCGAATCGAAGGCGGCCACCCCCGCGGCCGGCGGCGCCCCAGCAGACCCCGCAGCTCCTCAGGCCGCCGCCAACCCCCCAGCGCCTTCATCTGCCGCCGCGCCCGAGGGTGCCCCTGCCGCGGTCACAGAGCCCCCCGCCGGAGCAGCGATAAGTCAACCGGCGCCAGAGGCCGGAGCCGGGGCGGCAGAACCAGCCGAAGAGCCGCAGCAGCCGAGCCCGGCGCCGCAGGTCGCCGAGCCCACATCGCGTTGCAACGGGGAGGCTTCTGCCACTCATCACACAGCTGCTGAGGCTGGGGATGAGCAGGGTTAAACCTCCCACCAGGCTCCTCCCCCCCTCGACCCCCTTCTGTGACCTCTGCAGTCCCCACCAACTCCTGCACACTGTACATTAGCTGCTAGCATGGTGACACTGACTCTGCTTCTCTCTCACTTGCAGCATTAGTATCATCTCATGGAGGCTGTGTGCTACCTTTTCCTGAGTGCTGCGTTGGCTTTCTTTTTACATGTGCTGTGTTCCCCCCTTTTTTTTTTTTTTTTCTCTACTGACCCCTCCGGTGTATGTCAAATTATATAAACCACATCTATCTCCTCGCACTTGGGTTTTAGGGGCAAAATGGATTTGCTGTCAAGCTGCGGCTTACGGCTACAGTCTTCTCTCTGATTCTTCTCGTAGTGATAAGAGAATATAAGAAGACATAATTGTGCTGAAAAACGGCTTTGATTACTTTTTAATGAGCCAACTTGGGAAACTTCTCCATGCCAGTCGTGCAATTACAGTATTTGTTCTTAGAATCAGTCGGAAAGTTTTGCCCTTGAAATTTTTTCCAGTAGTGCCGGCCCTCATACACGGAGCAGATATATTGGGACACACGGTTATCTCTACTATCTGTCACCACTTATTGTGCATTAAACAATATTGAGATTGGTGACTGGGAGTTCTGAAGCCCAGTATTGTATTTAGAAAGAGGCAGCTTCACACATAAGCACACACACACAAACACTATGTTCCTTTGCTAAGTTCTTGCTCAGGAAAGAACCTCATAGCTGTAAGTGTAAAGATTCTGTATATAGAGACCTTTGTAGAAGTAGCCAAAACAGCATGCATTCTCACTTTTTGTGCTGTTCATTTTACATACACACACCCACTCGGTGGACAAAGACGCGCTACTGCCAACCTCGTCTTTATCGTAGACCGCAGCACTCTCGCCTCCCGAGCCGCGTCGAGGCTGAAGCCGTTCTCGAAATGCGTACAATGCATTTACGCCGTCTACTCCCGCTGTTCATTTTAGCGCCCCTGCTGTTAATGTAAGTTCCATTACGAAAAAAAATAAAAATGTTTTCATCACATAGCGGTTCTATGCATCCAAATTAATTTGTAGCTTTTCTTTTTTAGACGTCATGACATCTTTATCCAACATGTTTTTGTTTTTTTTCCATCTTTTTCAGCCTTTATCACGACATTTGCGTTCGGATGTCGATCGAAACACCACTCGCGTCTTAACATTTGGTTGAAACTGTAAACGTGCATTAGCTGACCACGCGCGGCTTTCGAGGGAACACGTGCACCGTTTTTGACTTTGTGGTAACTAGGGGTCGCTGACTCAGCTTCGTTGACCTGTGTCGTACTCAAACGATGTGTATAATAAAGCATTTTTTTTCATTTATTTATTACTTATTTATTTTCTATCCTTTGTCTCTGCTCTTTCAGCCGTTTGTTTATTTCATAGATTTTTCTGCTTATACTTGATGAATAGTAATAACAATGTATCCTTTTTTTGTCACTGGTCCCCTTGAGCATTAATAATGAGCTACAGAAGGAGATCTCTGTAATCACTCTAGAGGAAATTGAGCAATATTCGACTGGCTGTAGAAACTGTGATTCCTGGTGTCCTTTCGATAAAGTCCACGTATCTGTAAGTGGAAGTCTATAGTCCTCGCCAGCTGTCGGGTCCATCGGGGGCCGCCGACACACATAGCCACTAACATATGGCTGCTGTCAAATCGATGTTTGCGTGTGTGTGTGTGGGTTGTTGTTCTGACACACACTGAAACATGGGTTTTCATTCCGTGGCCACATAAAGGCGGCAGCCGCACTTGTCGATTATTAGATGACTTAACTAAAGTGTACTATGTGATGGCTCGTGCACAGCCACTTTGTCTGACTTCACCTGATCTGTTGTCCAGAGTATTCACTGTGCACACCTGTGAATTTATATGAAAATGTGCATTTCAATTAAAATGGGGAGAAAACTGATCCCATTTATTATAGAATCTCAAGTTTGACTTTATTGTTAGAGTCCTTTATTTATACACGTGTCTTTTTAATTTGTGCTATGAGGTCGATTGGTTGACACACCGATCGTTCAGATTACGTCACCGTATTGTTTCTTACATTGTCTAAGATGAATATTTTAACCAGAAGCTTAATTAGAGAGATACTAGAATTTTTTTTCTTTATGTGAATAGATTATTTCATGTAGTCCGTTCTCTTTGTTTAGATGGCAAATAAATACTGTTTAAATACTGTTACACAGTTCAAAGCAATGCTTTTTTCCAATACATTTCTCACTGTATTTAGTAGCCCATGTCTGTTCATTTTGCCGAGCACTTAAAGGTGTATTTGTAGATGTGATGTTTGCCAGGACCAGTGGTCACCTGTAGGTCCTGTCCTGCATTTGTGAGCTCTGTACTGTACTCCTTGACTGAGTTGATGACTTTGATGGTAATAAAATGGAATTCATCCGTTTACTCATGCGTGATCCGCTCTCATTCATCTTCCCAACACGCAGTCGGTGGACAGAGGGTGCCGAGCATCTTTCAATCCAATGATTATTTTGAGAAAATGTGGGAAACAGCCTGCGTCATTACACTCTGCTTCCCCCCCCCTCTTACCCGGAGGAGAGCATCTGTGTTACACGCGCTCAATTAGCACAAGCTTAGCACCCATCCTTGTGGGGTGTGAACTTGTGTTTCGAAAAATCCCAGCAGTACCATTTGGTGACACTTTCCAAGATACTTGAATTGCCTCACATTGGAATAATAATGCAGAGAGCTCACTTTCTAGGCCCTCTGGGGGTTTAAATAGGCTTCCTCTCGGGAGATTCTCTCTTTTTCATGCCCGTTTCGCAATCGCACGCAGTCATCCATACAGCCACCGGGGCTCGGGGGGATCCTAACTCCGTCTCTGTGTCATTGGATGACTTCATTAAGAGTGTTGGGGTAAGAGAAGTGTCACTTTCCTGTTTCTCTCAACTAACGGCGCGGAGATGAAAGACCGCTGATCAGAGTCTGTCCTTGCCGAGAGGAAAAGAGAATTTTTACAAGGAATACCAAAATATTTCTTCCTGTGGGCAAAACTAAGATAATAACTAGTGAAGTTGCTAAAACAGTAGCTGCACTTTGTGGAGTGGATTTGTGCAGAAATACAGAGATACTGAAATAACAGCGACTAAGAATAAACCTACACCAGTCACAGGCATGAGCACTGCTTGTGTGAAGTGTGTCTCTATTGACGCTTCCTTCCTTCCTCTTCCTTCACTCCATCAATCTATCAGGCGTCAGATTCACACTGATGACATTATTCCAAGCAAATAATTATGACAGTGATCAATGGATCTAGTTTGTATTGACTGATGTTTAGGTTAAAGCGCAATCAATCATAACAAATTATCCACCGTGCTCATCAGTTTAGTGTCTCATCTTATTGCACACCTCTGAAGTCCTCCAGAAGACACACACACAGAATATTTCATTAATAATGAATCAGTGTCAGTGGTTGTGTAGAACAGATCTTCAAGCATATTGAAAAAGAAATTAAAAATTCAAAAGGATCAATGGAAAAAAAAATCAAAAGATGAGTTGTTGATTTGGAGCTTTGGCAGGAGAGGACTGATTTTTTGTTTTTTTTAGCAAGTGTAAAGCAGACAGTTTGATTTAGGATGCAGAAAATCACATTTCAATTAAGTACAATGTGTGGGATTAGTTTTTCCCAAATAAACTACTAGTATTAAAACTATTCTATTATTTGATAACTGATATAATAATCTATGGGTTTAAACAGTGTGTCACCACTAAGAACTTTTACGGTCTTTTTGGACCTTCAGTAGACATGAGGTTTCACATTTTTCTACTCATCTCCACTCGGTACAATGACCAACAGACAGCTGGTTAGACATGAACAACAATACAGGAGTTGAAATACTTGGGAGAGAGGGAAGCTTTGCAAATCTTTGAAGGGAATGAATTTAGCACTTGGCATATGTCTCCAGTAATAAAACTATTTAGGGTTAGTCTGAGCAGTTGAAGCTGTTTTCACTGGCAGTCAGAGGAGATCTGAGCTAGGATTTCTTTATAAAGATGCACAGAATCAGCCAAATGTGGTCTGTAAAAACACAGAAAATGCAAATCAAATGCAGCTCCAATGCACTTAAACTTACAAATATAAGCAAATGGATCGCATAATGACTTCCCATTCATACTGGAAGTCAGTAACACAGCCTCCATAAACTACGCTCCAGACACTGTGCGCACTCTGGCAAATATCTGGCTTTGTGACATGAGCAGAGAGCTGACACTGCCCTCTGGTGGGGAAGCTTTTAACTACAATCCAGGTGAACACAATCATACTGAATGAAGGGTGACATTTTCAGGTCTCATGTTACACATTAGGAAAAGACAAACTTGTTACCTGAACATGCACAGTGTGCACATGTTGAAACACAAATTACCACAAGTTAACGATTCCGACACAGATGCTTTAGATGTGACACTAAATGTGACAGACATGTACTTAAGGGTCACACACTCGTATCTGGCAGGTCTAATCCACTCTGAATAAAAATTCACCATTTTAGGTTAAATGGAGCTCAGTTATCACATAATCAGTTTGTGTAAAGCAGGCCTTTTGCCGATTAGCTAGTTAACTCCAATCTACCAATCATGAGGATAATTAGCTGTTAATGGAAGATCCTTTGGTAACACAAGCAACACTGAATAAATATAAAAGGACACAGAGCAGCTTTAGGTACAACGTTGAGGCATCTGCACTTTACTTTCCATTATATTCTGTTCTACTACAAGACACTTGGGGAGCACTTGTTATATTCAACAATATGTAGTAACTACTTGCTCTTTCAGATTAAGATTCGATCTCACTAATATAAAATACAGGGAACGGTGAAGATGAACCCAGTGACCTTAAACCAATTTTGTAGCCCCTTTTACAAAAATGGCCTGGTTGTGGCCTTATGTCACACCCTATAAATGTATATGTTGATAGCAGTTCCATCAAAGACACATTCTGCCTCCAAG